GTTGTATCACTTGACAGTCCTACCAGCAGTGTATGGGAGTCCCAATCTCTCCATATCCCCACCAACATTTGTTATTTTCTGTCTCGTTGAACCTTGTCATCACTGCTGGGGCGAGATGGTATCTCATTGTTGTTTGGATTTGCATCTCTTTGATGGCCATTGATCGTGATGAGCATTTCTTCATGGGTTAGCTGGCCACCTGAATATCCTCTTTGGTGAAGTATCTATTCATGTCTTCTGCACAGTTTTTAATTGGATTATTTGTGTTTTTGTTGTTGAGGTGTTGGAGTTTTCTATAAATTTTAGAGATAAGACCCTTGTCAGTTATGTCATTGCCGAATATTTTTTCCCAATCTGTGGATTCTCTTTTTACTCTTTTGGAGAAGTGTTTGAAAGCACATAAAAATTTAAGTTTTAGAAGGTCCTATTCATCTAGTTTATCTTCTGCTGTTTGTACATTTTGGTTTATGCTTGACAGTCTATTTATGCCATAAATTGTTGTTGTTATGTGCCATGGAGTCGACCCCGACTCATAGTGATCACTCCTTGGGTTTCCAAGGCGGTATCACTGCAGAAGTAGTTTGCCCAACCTTCCTTCCGAGGAGTGTCTGGGGGTTTGAACTACAAGCCTTCTGGTTAGTAGTCAAGTGCCTTAGGCACTATGCTACCAGAGAATTTGCCCCTAGTTTTTATATTTTGAGGTTTCACATTTAACTGTTTGATCCATATGGAGTTACTTTTTTGTATGGTGTGAGGTACGGATATTGTTTCATTTTTCTGCAAATGGATATCCAGTTTTGCCAGCAACATTTGTTAAAGAAACCATCTCTTCCCCATTTAATGAATTTCAGCCATTTGTCAAAAATCAGTTGACCCATAGGTCGATGGCTCTATTTCTGGGTTCTCAATTCTGTTCCCTTGGTCTTTGTGTCTGTCAGTGTACCAATACCAGGCTATTTTGACTACTGTGGCTTATAGTAGGTTTTGAGATCCAGGAGTATGACACCTCCTACTTTGTTCTTCTTCAGTGGTCCTTTGCTTATCTGAGGTCTCTTTACTTTCCATATAAAATTTAGTCTTACAGTTTTCTTTGTACAGGTCTTTTATGTCCCTGG